ATGCTCGCCCCCTCTTTATTTTTATTGGGAGATGGATTTCAAATCCAAAATGGCAAATCTAATAAAATACTATAGTCTGCGGGCCAGACCCCCTTACAGTGCACTCCCCCCCCCCCCCCCTCCCACATCCCTATAAATTGCATATCGTTGTGTTCCTTGTGACAATTTATTTAAAAAAAGCCAATATTCCCACAAAAAAAAGTGAACGAACTGCCCCAAAATGGCGTCCAAACATGGCGGATTGACGACTTTGACTTTAGTTAGTTTTTTTGTTACTGAGAATCAGCATTTGGCTTAATTTCATTATAGTTGGTCTTTTATTAAAGCTGGATAGTCAGAGAATAATAAAACATGAAAAAATATTAAAAACTAATTGGCTTAGGCATTAAAAAAAATCGGTAAAGTCAATTTTTTTTACAAAAAAATTTTCAAGTTGAAAATCAAGCGTCGTTTGTAATTAAACGGTCAACAATAATGCAAAACGTGCTGAAATAAAACATCTGGAGAATACATTTCTCTTTCTAAAACACTGATTACTTTTTAAAATATTTGAAGTAGTTCCGTATAAAATGTACTTAAGCGGCAGAAAAGCGCTACTGGCGTGGGTGCCTACAGGCCTCTACCACACCACTCAGTACTCATAAATGGCTTAGTTATAGTGCTATAATAACGTCTTTATTATATTATATTGATTATATTAACGAAGAAATATTAATACAATAATTTAATTGTAAAAAATTATTTTTTTTAAATTTATTATTTTTGTTTTCTATTTATCATTATTATTTTTTTTTTAATTTAACTTCATTTATTCTATACGGAGGTCGCTTAAGAAGGCCTCTATTATAAAAATTATATAATTATAATAATAAAACTTATTTCAAAAATACTTTGCAGAATATCTTGAATTTTTTATTTAATATTTGCAATTTAACATTTTGTTTTATATATTTACTGATTCTTAAAGGTAATTTAAATTGTATATACTTCCCCGGAAATGAGTCATATTAATATCTGTTTTATAAACTAAAATAATATATACCTAATCTGAACTACTTTTAATGAATAGGTGATAGATTGTTTAGTAAAATTCATATATCACTATTAAAAAAATCATTTTTATTTCCTTTATTTTTTTCGGAAGTTGGACCATATCACAATAAATACGAAATGTTAATATTAAATGCATTATTCTCTCTGCACAAAAGAAATATGGAAAGGGCGAAGCTATAAGTTCTTCTAGGTAACTGGAACTGATTGTTAGTATTTAGTCTCAAAATGAATGAAAACGCGAAATTGACCCAAAACATTGGAAAAATACATTAAGCGGACGACAAAGGAAGTGCCAAAATTTCGGAAAAGAAAACAAGGATCAGTATCCATTATATGGATAAACAAATATATAGTAGACAGATGAACAGAATATTTTAAGATTCTGCTAAAAGGGGGTCAAAATGCTTGATGAGTTTGGATGATATTAAGCAGGTTTATTATGGTGAAGACCATTTCATCAGCAAGAAAGATTTGTTCTAGGCAATTGGCAAGTCAGCTGGTCTGCACATTGGAACATAAGTTGCAAATTGGGACTTTGTCTTCACAACAAAACCTGTCTTCACTTTAAGATAGGTTATAGAGAAGTCAACAGAGAAAGAAAAATGGTTCTCTATCTGCTTAGTGCCTCACACATTTTTTACAATTAAATTATTGTATTAATATTTCTTCGTTAATATAATCAATATAATATAATAAAGACGTTATTATAGCACTATAACTAAGCCATTTATGAGTACTGAGTGGTGTGGTAGAGGCCTGTAGGCACCCACGCCAGTAGCGCTTTTCTGCCGCTTAAGTTCATTTTATACGAAACTACTTCAAATATTTTAAAAAGTAATCAGTGTTTCAGAAAGAGAAATGTATTCTCCAGATGTTTTATTTCAGCACGTTTTGCATTATTGTTGACCGTTTAATTACAAACGACGCTTGATTTTCAACTTGAAAATTTTTTTGTAAAAAAAATTGACTTTACCGATTTTTTTTAATGCCTAAGCCAATTAGTTTTTAATATTGTTTCATGTTTTATTATTCTCTGACTATCCAGCTTTAATAAAAGACCAACTATAATAAAATTAAGCCAAATGCTGATTCTCAGTAACAAACTAACTAAAAACTAACTAAAGTCAAAGTCGTCAATCCGCCATGTTTGGACGCCATTTTGGGGCAGTTCGTTCACTTTTTTTTGTGGGAACATTGGCTTTTTTTCAATAAATTGTCGCAAGGAACACAATGATATGCAATTTATAGGGATGTGGGGAGGGGGGGGGAGGGGGTGCACGGTAAGGGGGTCTGGCCCACCGGGTACTACTATAATATATATAGTATTATATATTGACTGCACCCCGACCAGCTCCTAGATATATATATATATATATATATATATATATATATATATATATATATTATATATATATATATATATATATATATATATATATATATATATATATACATATATATATATATATATATATATATATATATATATATATATATATATATATATATATATATATATATATATACATATATATATATATATATATATTTTTTTTTTTTTTTTTTTATTGGTCTATTGTTATGTGTGATAAGTGAGCTACAAACTTAAACATTATATTCTCCTATTTAAATTATAACAAATGTACTTAAGCATACTAAATGTAAAAAGGAGTCAAGAAAAAATATAAGAAGTTTACACCTGAAAGCATTTTTGTCCTAATAATTACCATTATAAAGAAAGGTTAGCATCCTCCAACAAAAAAATGTACCCCTGAATGGATACACCCATAACTTCATTACTATATGATGACTCATACCAAATTTCTTGATATGGTCTAGTTTTTGCCAAGACCAGTTGTGGCTGAGAGAATTACCGGAAGCAGCTACTATCAAATGTGGATAAGAGGGACATTGTTTTATCACTAGCCACATAACTACCATTAAAACATCGGAAATCATTGTTAAAACATTTACATTTCATCAAAAGTCATGTACGAATAACCAAACAAAAAAGAAGGAGCATAACTGAGGTGCTCCCTTTGGAATCAATACAGACCTGTGTTTTACATAAAATTAAAGAGATGAGTGTGAGCTATGTTGGTTTTTAAAATAATCGAACAGGTAGCAAGTTTTCATCGATTCCATATACCTAGTTCTGCCATAAATACTGTTACAAAATTTGAAATTTGTTTACATTCTTGGGTATTATAAATAATCCTTACCTCTATCAGGTTATTTTCTTTACATGTCAGGATAATAATCCCAATTAGTTTGTATTTTTCTTTCGCTCAGTTAACATGGAGTGAGGTGATAAAGAAAACCGAATAGCTGTGATCGACTTACACAAAGTTGGAAAATGTAGGTCAGAGCTTTCAACACTTTATTTGACGGGTGAAACCCTTGGGTAACAGTCGTATGTTCGTGTACCGCACTATAAATAGATATAATGATACCTTACCTGTATGTGACAGACCTGGACCTCCGCACTGTGGAACGTCAAATGCAGTGAGAGCATGGCTGCTCGAATCAGAAGAAATCCCATTCGAAAACAACAAATCATGTCTCGGGAAATGAGAATCTCTGTCAGATCAATGTCTCGCATAATAAAAAGTGACCTTAGGATGGTGCATTTCGAAGAATGACAGGACAAAGGCTAACCACTTCCTAAAAAAAATTAGAGTGGATAGATGCAAAGTGCTCCTTGGCGTTACACCAATGGTCTTCATCGAAAGATTTTGTTTAGCGATGAGAAAATTTTACAATTGAGAAAATTTAATCGCCAAAATGATCGTATGTACGCACACAGCTCTAAAGAAGCCCAGGAAGTCATTGGAAGGGTGGAAAGAGGTCATCACTCTTCCTCAGTGATGGGGGGGAGGGGAGGAGGGAAGTTTGCTTTGATGGCACCACAAAGCTCCATTTTAGTGAAAAGGGAGTTAAAGCCACCGCTAAAAATTGTCAGGACGATATTCTGGAACCTGTTGCCAAGCCTCTAAATAATACTCTGTTTGCTGGAAGTCGTGGGTTTTCCAGCACGATTCCGCTCCAGCTCACAAGACCAGGTCAGGTTCTTAGCAGTGGCTGCAAAAGAACATTCCAGAGTTCATCTCTGCCTCGGATTTTCCCTCAGGAAGCCTTAATCTCAACGCACTAGATTATCAGCTTTGGTCCGAACTGGAGAGAATGGCATGCCACAGAGCACACCCTAACTTGGAAAGCCGCAAACAATCTCTGGTCTGTGCAGTTGAGCCCTTTGCTCAAGAAGTGTTGCGTGCTAATATTGATGACTGGCTAAGGAGGTTAAATGCCTGTGTCAAGACAAAAAAGGGAATTTTCGTGTAATTTCTTTTTTTGTTTTACTCTCTATATTATTTTATTTTCTAATAAAGTTTTTGAAAAAATTAATTTTTCTGTTGAAATCTGTATATATTTCCTTGTAACAACATTTATGACAGAACTGCTAGTTTATTTTTTTTCTTTATTCCTTGGTGTGAAAATTTGTCTTCATTGAAACCTCCAAAAAAATTATGCCTTCCCAAGGTCAATAAAACTACCTATCAATAAACTAAGGTAGTTTTATTGACCTTGATGTCTTCCAAAAAATCATAACCTCATAAATATGTGCCTCCCTCAAAAATGTATAACCCCGTAAAAATGTGCCCCCCTCAAAAAGATGGTGAAAACCAACCTCCTCCTACTTACCCCTGATAATCTGAGAAATAATTTTAAAAATATATATATATTTTAGACTCACAATAAACCAAAACTAAAACTATTATCTATTAACATAACAAATCAAAATAACACTAAACAAGCTAATTTTAGAATAATCTTCAAGAAAATGACTTTTTTTAAATATTTATATATTTTAAATATTTGTTTGTATTTTTTCTGTTAAAGTTTAGTATAGGAAATGTGATTTTATAGTTATTAAGTTTAAGATAACAATTTAAACTTGTATTAATCGATACTAAAGGCAGCAATTGTTTGTTGTTTTCCCGCCAGTTGTGAAGTCAGGATTCATGCGCCAGGTTACGTTAGATATGTTAGTTTATTAAAAATTTCATTCACAAAAGTTGAGTGTCAGTGAATTAAACTTTGTCTAATGCGAGTTTTGTTTTCCCTTAAACCTATGCTATTGTGTCGTTTTCATTTATGTGTTATTTCTGTAACCTAATATGAGTTTAATTACAACTAATTGGCCCAGTGAATTTTCAGAATTAAAGGTGGATAGTATACAATACTCATTTAGTAAAATATCTCCTTTTAACTATTATTTACTGAATGTTTTTATTTTTTTAGAAATTGGAAGGCATCTTACATTGCCCCATTTGTTATGAGTATATAAATACTTGCATGATAACATCATGTTCACATAATTGTAAGTGATACTGCTAATAGAATTTGAAATATAATAAGTTACATTCTGATTTTATTAACCACAGTTTTATTTTCAGTTTGTTCAGTTTGCATTCGCAAATATTTGCAGTTTAAAAATCAGTGTCCAACTTGTTCAGAAGAGACATATGCTGGCGATCTCAGGAAAAATAGACCTTTGGATGAGATAGTTACCATCTACACTGATGTCAAGGAACGCCTTTTGTTTAAATTGCGTCTCATAAATGTCACACAGTCGATTAAGGGTTGTCAGACAGAAAACTGTAATGGTTTCGCATCCACACCAAAAAAATCAGAATCAGATACTAGTAGTGATAAGGATACCCCTAAGAGTGAAAAGCCAAAGAAAAAAGTTGTGCAGAAGTTATTTAGTGAGAAAAAACCTCCTGAACCATTAGTTGTCGGAGGTCTTACTATTCCAACAATATTTCAACCACGCAAAAGTCCTAAAAAAAATGTTGCTCTGCCTAAACCAGAAACCAAACCATGTCCTGTATGTAATGTAGATGTACCTGTTAAAAATATTAACTTCCATTTGGATTCTTGCCTTGCTGCTGCAGATCCAGTTGTCACAAAGTGAGTGAATTACAGTTTTAATTATTTTATATGTGTTCCATCAGTTAAGTAATATAAGTCCTAACAATAAATAATCTAGGCTTGAAACTGCTGGAATTCATTTGTTCTTAATTGTGGAATTATTTAGAAAAGTAATTTATGAGTTTTATGGTGAATAATAAAATTTTAACATATGAAAATAAGTAAAATTATTTTGAAATAATACTTATTTTTCTTTTTTTCTTTTTTCTTACCCTCCAAAAAGTTTATTGAAACAATTACATATATAGTATACAATAATACAATATAAACATGTAATAAATTCCTTCCACTGCCCGAGGGCAAAAATAATACTTACCAGTTCCTTACTGAATATGTTTACTCTTAATGAATTTTTTTTTATGAGAATGAATCTTTTAATTCACAGACCTAAGCCACCAGTGGAAAAACGAAAGCCACTTACAAAATTGGTGTATACTATGATGAAAGAGAAGGAACTGAAAAGGTATCTTAAAGAACATGGTCTCAACTCTAACGGTGACAGGAAATCATTGATCTGGCGATTAAATAGGTGTGTAAAGTATTATATTTAGAACATTGGCTATCCTGCCATTTATAATTCCTTTGCATAATTTGTTTATTATTGTTATAGTTTCAAGTGACAATAGCTCTTTGATTTTATTGGATTAATTCAAAAACACTAAAGATTTCTTGGACTTAATTTTCTTCTCTTTTGTCTGTTTTGGATGTAACTCTTACATAGGCCATATTGACAAATTTATTCTTTATTTCTATTTTCTAAAATATTTTTTTGATTTAGAAAACAACCTTTGCATTTAAATTAACCTCAAATAAATATATTATTGGAACTTTCATTATTTTTTACAATTATTATGATATATTGGTATTAAACTAATGTTGACTTCATTAAATAGTTCATTTTGTTATTTGATATAACCTTCTTTAAATGTATTTAAGTATCATCAGGGGTTTGTAACTGTGAATCTCTTGATACTATCTTTTCAAATATTTTGAAGGGTTTAATTTATCTAATAATCTAGTCAAAATTGTTTTCTTTTTATAATAAAATAAAATGTTAAAGAATTTCTGTGATTATAAATAGATATTGGTTTTCTTACTACCTATATATCTGTACCCCGGAGATAAAGATCACCATGTCCATTTTTTATATAGTCAGAGAGCCAATTTTTCATAATTTAGAGCTTTTCAAATTTTTTTCTTAGCAAAGTACTAAATATGTATTCTGGAGGTAAAATACTCCATATCACATTTTTGTATTTGTTCAGGGAGCCAATTTTCCACGGCTTTGAGCTATTAAAAATTTGTTTCTTAGTTATTAAATTATCTAATGTAAAAGTATACATAGTATTCTTTACCTCCGGGGCATAAATATATTGATATTATTTAAAATTTTCTATTAAAATGTGTTCAAATTTGATCATATAACATGAATCTATAGGTACACAGTACTTTACAATGCCGAATGTGATTCTGAACATCCGAGACCAGTCGCTGATATATTGAAGCAGGTGGAACGAGAGGAAAGAGAAGAAAAAACGACTCCTTTGTTTCAGGCCCCTAAAAATGTAAGAAATATTTTTAAATTTTATTATATTATTTCTAATGTTTTAAGCTTCCGTTGTCCATTTGTAAAATAATGTATATATTGTTTTGATTTATTGAAATCATATATATCCTAATTCCACTTTATTTGAACTTTTCCAGAATTTATTATTTTTATTACTTTCACTTACCTATATATGTAATATATAGTAAGGGAAAGTATTGCAATCGTGAAATTTTTTTAATCTGAGTTTTCAACAGAAGTATATGTTTTGAGGTCTTCTGATTCCAAATAACCAATTCCCACAAAATGGTCGTTTGAAACTAATATTACATATTTAAGATATGTATATGACTGAGATGTTACAGCAACTTTTTCCTTAAAATCGGCTAACCGGAAGTGCTACTTTATAACAACCATGATACACATTTTTACAATTTTCTCAAAAATGGCTCTAACAATTTTGATTAAACTCTGTATATCATTGTATAATAAAGTGGTCTTTAATATCATTTAGACCTTATCTCCATTGATGTCACTTTACTGGAATTAAATGCTATATATTTAACATGTCTTCCTCTAAAGTACCTTTAATTTGGTTTATTTTGAATAATCAACTATCTCTCATTGTTAGGAGTTACGAAAAAATGCTAAATATAACTTTTGAAAGAATTTGATAATTGAATAATGGAGAAAAAAAGAAAAATGCTTATCCAGGTCGAAAATGAATTTACGGAAATAATAGTCAGAATATATAAGTATACTATATCGTTGGAAAGCAGAGAATATTAGAAAAATCATTATCTAATATAGGAAGTTGTAGAAGGTAACGGAGAGTGATGAAAATAATATGAATAATAATTTTTGAAAACTAACATTATTTATTGTAAATCACATGTTTCCAAGGAAATTAAATGAAATTTTCTTACTTAATGTAAACTTTTTAATTTTGAAAAAAATATTTAAAATCCATTGAATCAAGGCAATGACATTGATTGTTTAAATACTATTTCATTGTACTTGTGTAAAAGAAAAAATGAAATATTTCATGGATATGTCTGTAAGCTCAAAAAAATTTACTGTAGTTTAATAACTCAAGATCTGATATTATATTTAAATAATTAGGTACCTATCGGCCGTTTATTCTGAAAATTACCAAGTAAGACTTTACAGAATTAAATTAGTGAATAATTTGATGAATTTTCTCGTTGTGAAATCTCAACATTATCCACTTACAATTAATGTAACAACTTTTGACCTATCCATGGCAGCCAATGAAAATCTCGTAATTTCATTTTAGTAAACTTTACATGGAAAATAATAGTTAATAGCTAATAGTCCTACAATCCATAATCATTTATAAGTTAAATATTCAGATGTACTTTCAAATCTCTCTAGGCATATATGAGCCTTTCAATCTACCGTCGACATAATAAATAGAGTTTTTGTCTTTATGATTTGTTATTTGTAAGCTTTAAGCTTTATCTCTGTTTAAATTTCACTTCAAAAATTTTATAATACATTGCCAGAAAATAATTTCCATTCAAAGTAGAATGACAAGTTGTGTGTTGCACACCACCACCAGATTTTTTTGTATTTGCTGTAATTATTTATAAAAATTTCTGTCTCACTAATTGTGTCAATATTTATTATTTTTAATGATATTAAAATGTATTACTGGATTTCTGATTAGGCTTATTTAATTATTGATTATTGTTATAAAAAAATTGCTATATTGATCATACTGGAAATAATATTCTTTAAGCTTATGTGACTTCAATGAGGGTAATTTGGATCCTCCCCTTCCTCGCCTTTAAGGCTATATGGGCTTCTCCCGGGATTTAAATAAAAGACTCCCCCGGCACTGGGATGCGAACTCGGCACTATTTTTCATCATTGTCTTCTCATATGTCAGGTTGCCGGGCAATGGCCGTGCTGTGCACACTCATTAGCCCATTCGGCCATCCCCCCACTCTAATGAGGGTAATCTGAAAAGTTTCTGACCGCAACGTGAAGATGGCAGCACTCGTAAATAAAAGCAAGTGAATTTCGTTTTTCATCTGTTGACAGTTACCCACTAAAGTTTCAGCCATTTCGGACGCGCAGTTTTTATGTAACAGTCTTTTGAGTGAGTTGATGGGAGTGTTTTTGTAAAAATGGACAAAATCGAGTATCGAGCTGTCGTTAAATATTTGTTTTTGAAAGGTAATACGCCTACGCAAATCAAAGATGAGTTGGATTCTGTGTATGGAGACTCTGCACCATCTTTTACCACAGTGATATTTTGGGCAGCTGAATTTAAACATGGCTGTAAGAGCTTGGGAGATGATAAATGTTTGGGACGTCCAAAAACTGCAACTACCGACGAAAACATCGCCAAAGTTCACCAAATGGTGCTAGACAACCACCAAATTAAAGTTAAAGAGATAACAGAGGTTATGAACATTCCAAAAGAACGTGTTTGTTACATATTAAATCAACATTTAGAAATGAGCAAGTTGGGTGCCTCGTTTGCTCACGCAGACCAAAAATGTGTTCGTATCAACATTTCCAACTCTCTGTTGGCGCAGTTTAGGCGCAATAAATCTGAATTTTGGAGCCGATTAATTACTGTAGATGAAACTTCGATACACCATTATATGCCCGAAACAAAAATACAGTCCAAAAATTGGACTGCAAAGGGGGAACCGGCTCCAAAAAAAGCAAAAACTGTTTTCTCATGTGGGAAAGTGATGGCGACTGTTTATTGGGATAGTCATAGAGTTATTTTAATCGGCTATCTTCTGAAAGGAAAAACCATTACAAGAGTATACTACGCATCATTACTTGACAAGCTGAAGTTAGAACTTGCGGAAAGACGGCCACATTTGCAGGAAAAAAAATCCTGTTTCACCGAGACAACACACCGTCTCACACCTCTGCGGTTGCCATGGCGAAAATTCTTGAATTACGGTTTGAACTGCTTGACTATCCACCTTACTCACCAGATCTAGCCCCAAGCGTCTTCTTTTTGTTCCCTTATCTAAAAATTGTGCTCGGAGGACAGAGATTTTCATCAAATGTAGAGGCAATCACCTTTGTGAACAATTTTTTTGCAGAGAAAAATGCCGAGTACTTTTTGGATGGGTTACAGAGATGGTAGCATCACTGGGAGAAGTGTGTAGAGTTACAAGGAGACTATATTGAAAAATTAAAAAAAAAATTGGAAAAAAAGTCTTGTATTTTTGTTAGGTAGGAAACTTTTCAGACCACCCTCGTATACTTTTTTCTATTATTTTATATTTCTAAAAATATTATTCAAGTATTTCACATTTTCATTAAGACCTTCAATCGAAGTTTTTAGACAGAGTGTGGACTCTTCTTGAAAACAATTGCTAGCATACCATTTGCTTTTAAAACTTTTTTTGGAAGCAAGGAGAAAACCAACCATTACATCCTCTTATTATATTTTATGCTTGTTTTGTGTCATTCCAGTGTATTTAATTTAATTTGTTATTATTTTTTTTTTCAGAAAACTACAATCGATAAAAACTCAGATCCAGAGATAATCGAAAAACATAACAAAGAATATCGTAAGTGAATTTTTGTAACTGATGAAAAAAAGTATGTCGCTTAACTATTTCATAATCTAAGTTTTAATACATAAGAATTGTTAATACTCAAATACATTGGTCATTCTTATCCATTATCTGCAAACATGGAGTGTAAAATCACTCCTGAATTTGGGGGGACATGTTCTCTTTATCTTTTGATTCTTGGTTTTTTTTCTTCCAGCTAAAACTTGTAATTTTTATTTACATCTTTAAACTGATCAATTATATACACTAGCACCAATAAATTAAAAAAGAAAATATGTAGGTGTAAAAAATTATTACAGTCAAAATTATTAAACTGTTTAGAGCATTTTTTTATTAGTATTATATTTGAATAAAACATTCAGTTCTTAAATGTTAATATCAGGATTCCTCTCTTATTTTTCACTTTCAATGTATTATGAAAATGAGTTAATTTTCTTACATTAAGTCTTACCACTTTTGAACTATTGAGTTTAATAGCACTTTTTTTCTTTATGTGCTAAAGAGATTGGTCATACAGCTTTATAAATTATAAATTTGTTGACTTGGATTTAGTTTTTAAATTATATTAAATTTTAAATTACTATTAACAAATTTTTAATTTTTCAGTTCAGGTAAATAAAGATCACTTTAATGCACTGATAGAATCCATGAAGAAGCGTATGGGAAAGAACATAAAGACTTCAAACAGAATAGATAGTGATGAGGAAATTAAACCCGATATTACTCCTTTGGTTGAAGATCAGGTACCATCTACCTCTAAAGCTACCGATATAGACTGTACTGTTTCTATTTACTCTCAAGTGACTGTTGTCGACTCTGACTCTGATAGCGATATATTTGAAAAATCTACTACTAAGATAGAAGCCGATGTGCATCAGATCGATTGGAACAAAACCAAAGTCAATGAAGAATTTACTCAAGAAACAGATTTAAAAGATGAAACTGTTAAAGAAAGCAAAGAATTGGATGATTCTATAATACATGACGAAGATTCCAATTCATACGAGTCCGTTTTCGATAAGTCTGGTCGTGGTGAAATATCCTTAGTGAAAACTCCTGTCGGCAAAGCACATTCCCTTTCTGCAAGAAAGAAAACTAGAACACCATCACAAACAGCTAACAGCTCACCTTCCAACAGCAAAATGGAAAAAATGGTGGATGAAATTTTTGAAAAGAATGATGGTATGCAATAATTTTCTGTCTTCGAATTAACCTTAATAATAGTTAATTTATTTTGAAAAGTTTCTTTTTTTAGTTTTTTCATATTCAATATTTATATATATATAATTACGTCTATTTAAATATATCTAACAAGACCTAGTTGCTTTAATTTATCTTATGTAATGTTTTTATAGTTTCAATCAAATTCTTAAATTATTCAAGTCTATTCACTATTCCTTATAAAAAAACCTGCACCACTACAACCCCTGAAGGGTCTTGGGTTCAGTACTATTTAGGCAAGGTACTGTTTCAAGGCCAACGGTTGTGCAAGGAGGGTATCAGATTTTGTCGGAGCCATGTTAAAGCAACGAATGTACAATGTTAAACTGACACATTTGTTACTTAACATGGTGCTGACCATATGTTTACCACTACAGGATTGACCAAGTGAAAAAAGATTACAATTTCTTTAGAGAAGGGTTTAGGATTTTAGAATTAATTATAGTTTCACAAAATATATTAGATTTAAGTAATTTTAATTTCACATCAGCAAATTTTAAAAAAATAATTTAAAACTTGAAATTTTATCTCAATTATTCATAATCTTGTCTTTTTCAATTAATTAATGACTAGTAGGCCCGTGCGAAAAATTCGCACAGCATATTGTTATCAAATACCAAATTAATAAGAAAATGCAACTTATCAAAAGATTAAGACATCAAATGTTACATTATCGATAAATATAATCCACAAAGCAAACAAAAATTAATTTAAATCTTCATTTTTGTTTGGAACCAACATGTATACAAATTTCAGTAAGCTGTATATATACTAAAAATTGTCCGATTTTTTTCCTTTTGTAGGGAATTTAGTAATGTTTTATATAATCATGGGAATAACCAAGGGAAAAGTGTGTAATTTTTCAGTTATTCGCAAATAAAGTTTATTTTCTTTCCTAACTTGTTCGCCTGAATTTTGTGGGTGATTGGACTATTTTGCCAGCCTGAAGGAGAAGGAAGCCTTCAAAATCGGTGGCTCAATCTTGGGATTTGGTGAAAAATTAACGATGATATGGCTTGCCGATCAAAAGTACCATCGATGAATAATATAAACTTCCCCTCTCTCGATCATAGAGACCTCAAGTCGACGAAATGAGACATGTATTCAATGACAGTACTACAATTAATGTGTAAGGTTGTGTGGATGGGAACCCTATGCCTTGCGTTATCTCGAAAATAGTACGTTTTTCGGCTTAAAAACGCAGGATCCGATAGTTCCGAAGGAACTATCCGGGTCTTGCTGTACGCATCAAAATCTTTAAGATCCAATTTGTCCCATATCGATCTACAGACCTACCACTGTTCCAGTATCGAAGCCTAGCGAAATGTTTGTATCGACTTTGTTTATTTTAGAAAGAAAAACAAAAGTGGAGAATACGATTTGCCAACCCCCCGTGAAATTCTGAATCCAACGGTACTCCATTCGTGGTATTTGAGCATGACAGGAGCTTATATTTGGTACAAAACCGATTTCAAGCCTTACTGTAATAATATATGTACGGATATTGTATTGTATCAATAATGTGGTGTTCTAATTTAAAAAAAAAAGTAATTCTTGCTTCATATCTTCAGTTACTATTAAAAATAAAAATTAGTTACCTGGAATGAATTATTAATTTAATATCCTAGTTCATAGGTTGATAGAGCTTTGTTTTTTTAATGTTTCAGATAAAATGTCCGATCAGTTAGATGAAGAATCAGAATCTGATGAAGATGATGATGAATCAGAAGACGAAGGATTCCAATTCAAAACTCCAGTAAAAAATTATGACATGTCTCCTGAAATTAGCCCAATGAAAACCAGATCAAAGCGAAAATGTGCTCCATCCACTGATGAAAAGAAACTTACTAGATCAGAGACGAGGCAGAAACGTGTAAAACGCTCTATTTCTCCTTGTTATTAAGTAAACTAAGATGGTTTGTTAATTTAATATAATTAAAATTGTTTTATTATTGTTAAACAAAAATATTTTATTATTGATAACATAACTGTAATTTCGATCACCTACTGTCTTATAAAACAGTTACTAGCAATGCTTTGTAAAGAAAATGAAAAGTAACTTTGTGTTGAATGTTAGACGATAGCAAGTAGAGTTGTAAATATATATATTGTCATTAAAAAAGTCTTTGTATAATATCACCCAGTGACTAATATAAATACTGTTTCATTTTTTAAATTTATTTTATCCCTAGCAATCTTATTATTCATTCCATTCATTCATTCTATCATTCTATTCATTCTATCCTTTAAAAATTGTCCAGTTGAAACCAGGTGTAGTAAGGCTTGGATTGATAATATGATAAGTTTCAGACAAGCATTGATTTGGTTCATTTTTTAATGATTTTTATAGAAACTGAATTGTTAAGAAAAAAGATGTAATGGGTAATCATCTTGGTGAGAAGGTTCCGAAATGACTGATCCAGTGAGTGACATGGGTTCATTCCTTAAATGAATGATCAGTATTAGCAATGGTACATTAAATCATTTATTGTGACATTGTCTGTCATATCATAAACATATACACTATTTGTATTTAAGTTTTGAAGGATGATTGAAACAAACTTAACTTCCTTTTTCTTAACAATTTACTTGGCCTACTTCACAGGAAATATCTTTTTTTTTTTTTTATAAATTCTGATACATTTTAATAAAGGAAGGAGATAGTCCGGGGTGGTGGTCATAAATAGGCTAAATAGTGGTAAAACTATTTTTATTAAAAGCCAACGTTTCGACCCGACTTTGCAGATCTTCAGGGAGGTGTGTTCAGCTAGGAGTTTCACTTAGAACTTTCACTTAAGTTCTAAGTGAAACTCCTAGCTGAACACACCTCCCTGAAGAAGATCTGCAAAGTCGGGTCGAAACGTTGGCTTTTAATAAAAACAGTTTTACCACTATTTAGCTTATTTATGACTGCCACCCTGGACTATCTCCTTCCTTTACAATGCAACGGTCAACTATTAAATATTTGATATATTTTAATTTATTTAATGCTATCAACATTTTTTTTTTCTTTACACAAAACAAAAAAAATCTATTGTTTATAATAATACTGAAATTATGCAAAGCAAGGGCAATAACAGTAATGCACATATATTTTTAAATAATGTAAAATATTTATTTTCTGCCATCTCAACACATTGAAATGAATTCCAGAACATGTGTCCAATATTTTTCAATGTACGATCAAAAAAAAAAAATTGGGTTGAAATTGATGACCCACTAACTGTGAAGTTTCAATAAATTATGTATTAAATAATACTAAAAACATATTCTCAGCAGCTAATAGTTATGTTCTTTATAAAACCTGAAGCATCCTAATATATTAGTATCTTAGGTCAACAAGTGGTTAAGTAGAGTCTAAAAAACTTATTAAGTTTGGTCTTGAAGTGGTTAAGTTAAGAGCAACTTTGTGCAAGTATAACTAATAGGGTGTATACAAAAAAATGACCGTTTTTCAACCAAATATTTGTATTATTATTTCTTCGATATAAAATACAATTAGTACTCAAAGTATAGTCCATTGTTATCTACCGTCATTAGCCAATTGCTCGATCCCACGTTGATACTATTCTTTGGGATTCCTGTCAAAGAACTCTTGGACCGCAATTTCAACTTCCAAAAAATTATCATTTTTTTCTCCTGAAGAAAATGGGCCATGGATCTAAATAAGGAGTAATTAGATGGTGCGAGGTCTGGACTATATGGTGGATGAGGCAGGCATCTCATATGAGAAGGGTTTTTTAATAAATTTGCACAAATTTCTAAACTCTTAGCTGATTGGTGAGGGACCAGTCTACTGCACTTTTTCACCTTCCCCATTAAGAGTAGATGGTGACTAATAGTATTTTTTGACACCACACTCCTTGGCATGTTTGCAAGTACTTGTGGGTGGATTTGACTCAATAGCTTCCGGCAGAACCTCATCCACATCCATTAATGGTTGCCCAGAGCTCTTCTTCCTTTCCAAGGTTGTATCTCCACTGCTAAATTTTTCAAACCAACTCCACGCAGTGTGCTAGTCAAGGACACCCCTTCAGATTTAATAATTTCACGAGTTGCTTCAGCAGCTGTTTTGCAGTAATGCCTTAAAATTATGAAAATTTCTCAGGGCATGTCATGTTTCTTCTTTGAAACAAATAACTGAACAGGGCCTGTTTTTTAAGAAGTTGAATGGGATTAAAGAAGCTTAGGGAATTCTCTAAAGAGATTATTAAGTATTAAATAGGATTAAAATATTTACTGTCATTTGAAATCTTGAATTTGATTAGTCATTTGTTTTTTACACCCTATTATATCATGAGTACTCACAAAACTTCTGTTATGTAAAGTTGGATAGATTAAATATTAATTTCTGAATGTTGTAAAAAGCTTTAATCTAGAATAGAATATATTTTTTTTATAACTAGGTTGTATTAAATTAAATCATATTTTATGTATTGCTATTACAGTAACTATCTAATTAGGGTAAGGAGTGTAGTGGGTTTGAGGATTATCATAAACACACAAACTACTTTTCAATAATTTATTATATAAAGTAGTGATAGTTTAGGAATAACATTTTGATATATATATATAACCACTCATGGAAATGTCTTCTTTTAATTTTTTTTTTAAACATTTTTAACATCACAATTTTAAAACATCTATTATAAAATAAAGCATTATATATATATACTATATAATTTTTTTTTTGTAGATTTTAAAACGAAAATAAACTTCTTTACTTTTTATGATATAAAAACATTAGCAACTACTCTTTCGCTGATTATAAGTAAAATAACAAATAGATCACAATAAAAATGTTAAAAACAAAGGAAAACCCTGTTCGATAGAGGATCTCAGTATGATATTATACAGTAATATTTTATCCTTTACGGAACCTTCCGTTACTTATTATCTACTCGAAAATGATTTACAAAACTTCTATCAGAGAGACTACTGTGAAATAAGTCTATTACTATCCTATATGGTTTTCAAGATAAGCTGGCTCACTCGTAATACAAATGGTCTAGCGAGTTGTTGGCTGATATTAACAACTAATTATTAACTATATACACTAAAATTCACAGTTTGGAACACGCTGATGAAGAATATGATATGTTGTATGACTTAAATTATTTTTATAAAAGATTTAAATGGTGCCATAGTTACCAAATGTCTTTAATATTTTGGGAACTTTTTATTATTTAAAATCAGTAAATTTTTTTGTTATTTCAACTGTATTAATGGGCTCTTTAATTAGAACAAAAGGTTCTTAATATTGTCTATTTTTTTTTTTTTTAAAGATTTGTTCGTGATCAATAATTGAGCTGATTAGAATAGAATTAGCTTAAGTTCACAAAATATATTGACGTTAACAATTGTTGAGCTTAGAATGAAAGTGATTTAGGCGCATAGTACAGCTATTTTATACATCTGGAATTTTTAAGTTTATTGGCCAGAATCTTCAATGAGTGCTAGGGATAACAATAGCAAAAGATAATAACTGATTTTTTAAAATATGAACCATAAATTTACTTTTATAGAGTAACTATTTAAACAGAGGAAAAAAAGTATAAATTTATTTTATTATGTTATTAACTGAACGCTCATCTTCCCAGAAGTGGATTTACAATGCATTCATTATAACAAGCTCAATTGTTAACTAAACTGTATTATGTCCACTTGAAAAATACCAGATAAAAGGCACTGCTTATATTATTTTCATTCAGAAATATCAATTTTGTAACATTTAAAAATATAATATGAAAATCTTTTAAATGATTTCTAATAGTGAATGAAGCTTATCCTAGAAACCATGCCTCCAACCGTGACCCTCTCTGGTTAGTATAGAAGGCTAGAAGTGTACAAACTATAAACTGCTATGGGACGAAAGCAGAATTTCAAAATATATTGGTAACATCGAACCCTAAGTACCACTTCATTACAGTGATCATTAGTCTGTACAAATTGTCTACTTTTTTTTTTCCTTTTATAAATTATTAATTAGCCTATCATGTTCCAATTTATATATACTGAGCTTTGGGCTTTTTCTTATCCTTCTTTATTTTTTTTTTTAATTTTAGATATATTTTTAAATAATATATATGAGATGTAAATGTAAACAGCCTAACAAATATGATTTATTTCCAAACTTGATTTTAAACAAAATGCTTGGTAGAGTAATTGGAAATAATAATTTTGAAATAAACTGAAATTAATTAACATAACAGCTATTGTAATTGACTTTTGCATATTTGGTTTGTCCTCCACCTTTTATTAAACAGTTCAAAAACTGTCTGGTCAAATCAATAGCAAAACAAAATAACTAATTCACATTAAAATCACTTTAATTCTAACATGAATAAAAATATACATTTATTTTAATAATAGTTATGATCAAGTTGAATTTTTTAAGTACATAAATTATAGGTCAGGCCTTCAGTGAATGATTATTTAAAATATATATTTCAGTTGATTTCGCATTATATTGTTACACAGAATAATTGCATACCACTCTAAGTTTGATATTGAGAAGAACTTTTCAGTCTTTACAATAAATTTCTTTTTTGGAAAATAAGCAAAATTTACTCAAGATTGAAAAGTGATAAAATCAGTCCACTTTAATTTTACAAAAATGAATAATAAATGATTTGTTGAGGAAATTTTTTATTGGAAGCATTTAAAGTCTTCTTCTCAAGCGAACCTGCAACAATAAAAATCTTATTACGTTGAGTCGATCTAAGTAAAATTTGAAAAAAAAAAAATTAAAATATCTTATAACCAACTTAAGATATTTTAAATTAATATTTTTTAAATAGGGAATTTATGTACAATATACATTTGTAATGTTAAAAAAAATAAAATGTCCGTATGCACTATTTTTTATAGATATTCAGACAGATGGTTAAAAACCAGGCAAACTAAATACTAAATTATCTAAAAATCTGATTACTAAAAAAACACTTAATCAAGTATAACAAAGTGTTACTAAACAAAATGTGTAACTAAATTTTCTTTACGAAATTCGCGTCAACTGACAACTAATCAGACAGATTAGAGATAGCTTATAGTGATCATTATATGCTCTGCTAATTCAATAAATAAATCAAACTAATATTGATTATCTTCATTTTCAGGACCAATCAAGATAATAACAATATTAATTTTTAAGAATAATACTATACCTTTGATGATTATTGCGATTTTCGAAGTAGAGTTAACGAAATACTTCCACGAATTTTTCTTAATAGATCTATTACATCTGCTGTACTCATATCTTCAATCCCTTCATCATTGACCTAGGAGATAATAGGATCAGCAAAATATTTATTATTATATAACCAAAGTATAATTATAGTAATGTAGTAAGAATAATCTTACATTAATAATCCTGTCTCCGATCCTTAGCCGGCCATCCCTGGAGGCCACGCTATCTGGGTATATGGCACTAATAAAAGATCCCCCATCGGAGGACGGCTGCAGGCTGAATCCCAACCTACTGTTCCAGCCTCTATTCAGTTCTACAATAACCACCTGAGTAACAAAATATGAAAATATCAATAGTTATTAAGTTTTCATTTAGTTAGTAAATTTCATTTATTAACTTGAAAACATGTAATTTCCATTAAATAATATTAGTTTTCACAAATTATTATTTATAATTTTTCGTACTCTCTGATTTCTATACTAGATGTTATTTTTTCTATAATTCTTCGTTTTCCAACGATATATTATATGTTTACCTTCTGACGAGTATTATTGGAGATTTGTTTTCAATCTAAATAAACATTTGCCCTTTTTTCTCCATCTCTCAACTATCAAATTCTTTCAAAAGTTATATTTAGCATATTTACACAACTCCTAACAATGAGAGATAGTTAATTATTTAAAAAAAAACAAATTAAAGGTACTCTAGGGAAAGACATGTTGAACATTTGGCATTTAAGCCTTTGACATCTTGAGCATTTGACATCAATGGGGTAGGACCTAAATGATATTAAAAGCCATTTAATTGTACAATGATACACTGAGTTTAATCAAAATCATTGAAGCCGTTTTTGAGAAAATTCTAAAAATGTGTATAACCTATAAAAATGTGTATAAAGTGGCTCTTCTGGTCAGCCGATTTTAAGCAAAAATTGCTGTAACATCCCAGCCATATACCTATCTTAAATATGTAATATCAGTCTCGTAATCATTAGTTTGAGCTATTAACATACACACATACCATTTTGCAGGACTTGATTATTTGGACACAGGGGAACTCAAAACGTGTAATCTCCTTAAAAACTCAGATTTAAAAATTTTCACAATCATAATACTTTCCCTTACTATATATTACACATATAGGGACTCTGTATAAGATGCTGATTTGTCCTGTCCTTACATATGGAGCAGAAACAGATGAAAGCAAGCTGCTGGTCTTTGAAAGAAAAGTAGTACGTCGCATTTATTTACCAGTACGTTCAGGTAACGACTGGAGAAGGTGGGGTAATGCAGAACTGGCCGTCATACATAATGATACGGATGTAGTCCGATTCATTAGAATAAAGCGTTTACAATGGGCGGGTCATGTAACCAGGATGGATGAGAGTAGCCCAACCAACAAAATTGTGCTAACGCGTCTAGAAAGAAAAAGAAGAGCTTTTCTTAGACTGGAGGAACAGCTGCAAGAGAGAGATTGATTGATTGATTGATTTTTATTTGTCTTAGGACCTATGGTCCTTTCTTACAGACTAAAATACTAATACATTCAGTATTTTACAATTTTCATTATGATATACATTGTGCCTTACAATATTTTTTACAATTTAATTTTAATTTTAATGTTAGTAAATATATGTAATACAGATGTTAGTATGTAAAAAAAAATAAAATAAGATTATAAGTAGATAGTAAGAGAGAAAAGAAAGAAAAAACTAAATAAATAAGAGAGAGGTCATCGGGTGAGAGTAATTTTAAGAACTTTAAATATTTATTGTGTACTCAACCTATTCTCAGTGAGGAATCGCCTAACACAAGCCCTGTGGAAGAAGGACCCCATTCTTACCTCTGCTGGAAGCCAATGAGTGAGACTAATTGAGGAGGCCAAGACTCAGTGATGAGTTATAGTGCCCATGAAGAAAAAGAAGAAGGTATATTACACATATAGGTAAGTGAAAGTAATAGAAGAAAAAAAAACTAGATTTGAAACAAAACCTAAAATTTCACTTATCCCATGATACGTCACAGATTTATAAAAAGAAATGACTACTTATAGAACACATTTTTTATGTTGTTAAGAAGCAATTTTGTTGATTCTAGTAATGGACTAGTAATGGAAAAGAAAACAAAGGTGGCTGTTTTCAGATCGACATTTCTTCCCATTTTAACGCACTCTTCAGAATCATGGATGCTGACAAAGAAACATCAATCAACGATAAAACCGTTAGAAACCAGATTCCTCCAAAAGATTGAGGGGAAAACAAGAAGAGACAGAGTATGCACCACCACCATTAGATCAAATCTTAAAATTAAGCCAGCCAATGATGTGATAGAAGAAAATAGACTATAATGGCTAGTACATTATGGCTAGTACTTCTTCTACAAATGGAACTGAACAGTATAGCTAGCGAAGCCTATCAAGCTAAAGTAAAGGGAAAGAGAGGAAGAGGACGGCATAGAAGGAAATGGTAGGATGAGATAAAGAGCGACTTCCAGAGAAGAGGATTTCAGTGGAATGATAAAAGGTATCTTGTGGAAGACCGGCAGATCTGGTGAAGGCTCTTTAGACTTTCTTCTCACAGAAGCAATTTCATTCCTTTTCTCAAACCTAAGAGTTCTATAGAATGTATATTATCTTTTGTGGCCATGATTGACCAACAATTTAGAGAGAAAAATAGAAAACTGTAGTCATATATTCATGGGGTACCTATCTCTTTGAGAGATACTAAAAACAATCATTAACAGAAACATTTGTCTAATAGGAAGACTTAAAAATCAGGATTAACTTACCTGGTATTCAGGCTGTTCCTGTGGCGGTTGTTGTTCATTGAATGACTGCAGTTTCTGACTAGATATAACCGAATCTACTTCTTCCTGAGAGTTAGAAGTTGAGGAGACATTTTCATTCTCAGGGAAGAGAACTCCTTTCCACTTTAGCAGACCTTTTGTCCCGCCACCGTCTACTATAGCTGTAGGGATGTCCTGTTCAGAGCAACCAGTTTCATTTATCTCCTGCAAACAACAAAGATAGATATTAATATTCATAATTTAGGACCAATCAAATGGCATAGAAAAGCACTATAATAAAACTCATAGTGTAAAATATTTACGTACATTCCTAATGTTTTTCTAAGCTTAAATTATATCACTCAATATGACAAAACTCTGAATATCAAAAGTCACAAACGTTTTATAATATTTACCAGTTATTTCATTTTTGTCTGATTAATCTAAACAAAATTAAACCAACATGACCTTTCAAAGTGATATTGAATGGTGAATAATTTGTTTCAATGTTTTATTGTGCATTTATTGATTTTAATCTGTTAAATTAACTGAATGAACAATTTTAAAATGGTTGAAATAGATGTTGATAGTAAAATGATATTGACATGAAAAAAAAAAAAAAAATTCAAATCACTGAAATATGTTTTCAAAGAGGTATAAAACATGAAGAAAAAAGCTGAAATCTTGTTAAGAATTTGTTGATCAAATGTATGTCCTCAACAATAGATTTTTAAATTTCAGATTAACTTTCACATCATGATCATTCCTGTATTTTGATGGATTTTTAGAAAAAGTAAGACATTTTTCATAAGTCAATTTCAATGAAACATGATGAAAACCGTTTCATAATAGTTGAACTTTAAAAAAAATACTATAAAAAAATTTAAAGTTTATAAATAAAGACTAGAGTATTCAACCTTATTATAATAAAAAAACATATATTATTCTTTTTATTGAGATAAATATCTCCTGTGATACATATACGTAATAATGACTTGCATTATAAGGTTATTGCATTTCAATACTTCAAATATACTTCCTATAATTATAAGGTAATTAAACTTTAATATTAAATGTAATTTATGGATAACTGACCTGATTCGTGAAGTTAAATTATTGTTTTTCAAATAGTTTATAATAAATATTTTAGTAGAAAGGGTCAAAGTATTGTTAACGGCTGCTTTCAGAATCAGTAAACAGGATTGACTGCTTATTTCATTTCAATATGAATTATAAATATTTACTTGAGAATGTTTAATATTTTCACAAGATTTTTAAGTTGAGAGAAAAATAAACACTGTCAATAATTTATAAGAATCAGCTTCGGTATCAGTGAGATAATATTTTCAAGTCTTATCCAGTGGCTCCTGTTATCCAGTAGATAATATAAATTGATGCACAATGCATGATTAAATATGTATTATTATTGTAATTATTAATCATTTTTTATAATTTATAAACAAAATCTCACCTTTCGGCATTTTTTAAAAAAACTAGGCGTAGTTCCCATCTCGGATCATGAGAGGACTATCACTTAAGCAAAACAAACTATGAAACCGACGAGACCACCCTGAATAAATTAAATTTCCAGTCCTCACTAAGTTCACAGAGATAAACATAATAACTGGAAAGTTTATAACTCTATCATAAAAGTAAATCAGAATTAGTATAAAATACATAACCATCGTCTCTGACCATCATATGTGAGTCATTATCTAAAAAAAATCTAAATCTTTCAGCTCTTTTCCATAATATTTGCCTTAACTGATGTTGATATCTTAGAAACAGTATGTTGATCCATTCAAATGATACAAAAAGTAAAGGTTGGAGTCCGAGGGAAACAGAGATAAAAAAAAATGTTTATAAAAAGCTTCCATGGAAGCTTTAATCTTTATCATGCTATCTTCTCTATATTTATAATATTTAAAATATATACAAAGTTTAAAAAAATTATTATTTTTTATAATTTATTGTTAAATATATTTTCAAAGAATCAGGTATTGGAGCAATATTTCTAAATTATATAGAAGATATTTGTAGCTTATTATTAATAAGAATATTCTGAGATTAAACCATTAACTTTTTATTGATTATATATATTTATTTAGAATTGATATTAATTGTGATGTAATAATAATGAAAATTTAAGCTTTTTATCAGGAAACAAATAAATGGTTTAAAAATCTGCTTTTTTTTCTTTCTACAGTACAATTTAATATATTGTAATCACCAATTTCCAAGTGATTTTGGCACATTTTAAAAAATAATTTTGAAACATGTTGGCTTCTCCTGATAAAAGAATAATTTTATTTTTTATAAATAAAGAAGTGATATAATGTCTACATTGTTTGATAATTTTTATTGCCATAAAAAAGTATTCTGAAAGGGTTTATGATCTACTTCCATAGTAAAATTTAAGCATAGGAATTAATGATGGATTTTTCATGGGTAAACTATAACATATTTATATATTTTTTGTAAATTAATGATTTTCCTCCAAAAAGAAGTGTACCAAAAGGTTTTAATTGAAGGAAAAATATGTAAAAAAATAATGAGGACTTATAAGTTGGTACATTCCATATGTAAACTTGAGCTACATACAATTTCGAAAGTTAAAAAAAGAAAGTAGTTTTTATAAATACAATTATAAATTAAATATATTGAAAATAAAAATTAAACAAATTAGATAGGTAATGATTTAGATCAGCATCTGACTAATTAATTAATATTGAGAATCATACATTAATATATTATATCTTTATATATCAATAATCAAATAATATAACTGTTATAGCAGAGTGGTTAGCGCGCAATACTAGTAAAGTAAAGATCATAGGATCGAATCCTGGCCCTAATTCCCACTATGCCTGGTCCCCTCGGGAACTTAGACCATTTCACTCTTACTTAGGGGAGGCCTACAGGTTGTAAAATACTTGTAAGAACAGGCTAGGAAAAAATAAATAAATAAAATAACTGTTATATGAAAAGTGTCTAGTAATAGAAAAAAAATCAACATCTTTTAAAACTCTATAACAAAAAAATAAAAAGTTTTCAGCCAAATCATGTTCGCCACTATCAGAAATATATAGGAGCTAATGTAAGCTACTCCAATTTACAAGAACTGGGTAAAAAAAAAAAAGGGGAGAATAAATTTTTTTTTTTTGTTCTTCCCTACCTCGCCTTTTAGGCTATACGGGATTTTCCCGGGCCGGGGGGTGAGGGCGGGGAAATTTAAAATCCCCTCCGGCACCGGGGAGAATAAATAATGTCCTAGCTTGAATTAATAAATTAATGAAGAAGAGTGACTTCCAATTGCCCTAGCAATATATTTTGGCACAACTTATCTATCCCTTTAAAGTTTTTAAGTTCAGACAAAATTACACGTAAATGAGAAGTAGAAGGGCATATGCCCTGTGATAGAAAAAGAAACTGCATCTGCCTTGTATCAAATCTGAAAATTTCAAAACATTTCTGGATTGTTTCAAGTTTTTATTTTAATGTTTATATTCTAGTTATATTTTATTTTATTTTTTATTATTTACAATCAATATATCAATAATATTTATATTATATCAAATTGTATCAATTATATTTGTCTTTATCTACTAAAACAAATATTTCTAAGTGTTATTAGGAAAGAAACAAATAAATTATGAATAAAAAATAATTCATCTTACAAGGTTATTTAAAAGCAGAAATTATTTTTAAAAAATAAAATGCATTTATTATGCAGTACATAGGTATAAAAAATAATTCATCTTACAAGGTTATTAAAAAGCAGAAATTATTTTTAAAAAATAAAATGCATTTATTATGCAGTACATAGGTACTGTAAGTTCCTAAATTTTACTTGTTAATTATTTATGTTAACGGATAACTAAAACTTATAAATATACTTAATAAATAAATATAACTAAAAAAAAATACTTATAAATTTATAATGGCGATTATTAGCCTTGAAATTTGTACTATTTTTTAAAATGAAAACAGGATAATTCTATAATTTTTTTATTTTGTAAAATAAATTTAAGAGCTAACTAAAATTACAAATATATATATTTTTTTTTTAAGTTGAATATTCTTTAGATATTATAAACAATAAATAAAGTAGTATGAGAAAGATTGAGAAAATTATCAAAGTTTGTAAAACTTATTTTATAATTAAAGAGCATTCTATTAGAAATTAATATATCCACAATTTAAATTGTTCCAGTTAAATAGAGGTCGCAACCAAAATCTTCAATAAAAATTTAACTTATTTGCATAAGATACTTCCTAACAAACTTTCTTTAGAATAATTTTTCAAAATTGAATAAATTGATTTTTTTATTAATATTTCCCTGTTTTATTTTGAAGAATATCATTATCCATATTTATCATGAAATTATAAAATCATTAAACTCTACCAGGATGGAGTTTTGTTTATGTGGTAGTATTGTAAATACATAATTTATTTATTTATATAAAACAAATAAATAACTTGTAATTAATACAATTAATTATAATTTGGGGCATAGAATTCCAAAACCAGCCAACAATAGTTTCAATATTTTTTTTAAAACTGTCCTTTTCAAATTAACAATTATAGTATATGATTGTCATGAAGTAAAAATAAATTAAAGCCAAATTAATAATGTTAAAATACATTCTTGTTGATAATTCTATAAATTGTTTTTATTTATTTATATAAAATAAATTAATAACTTCTAATTTATACTGGTCATTTCAATTTGAGGAATAGATATTCAAAACCAGCCAATTATATTTTCAATTTTTTAATTAATAATATTACATTGTCATTAGATAAAAAAGAATTGCTTTCATGAGATAAATTCAATTATTTTTTTAAGTCAAATTATAATCAATTGATATAAATTATAAAGAAATTACCTGTGGTACGAGAGGCCTTGTCTGAGGAGGATTAGCTGATCTGTAGGCAGGGTTCCTGTAAGAGAAGCCAGTGTCCTGGTCGACGGAGCCGAGAGGTGGCATGCTGACAGGCTCGTTTGGCAGCGGCTCGCTCCCGCACAGTCCTCCGCCAACGAGCTCCTCCTCTGTAAACATTGTCTCTATCAGTGCTTTGATAGAGGTGCTGTGATAGCACCAATCCTGACACCCTAACCAGCGGTGAGTCAGCACTGGTCAGTACTGCTGATCTGGGTGACCTTGTCTCACTGTGGGAGTGGGGGCTCTGGAGGGGGTAATGTTTAATGTTTACACTTTAGGTCAATCATTTCTGGCCACAACAACAACAGTTGTTCTCATCTAAAGGGGACCTATTGACAGTCGGTCAAGACAAAACATACTGCTGAAAGCAAAATCATGTCTCTTTACTCCTACAATCCCACATGAAAATGTTGATAATAGGTAACTTTTGAAGTTAACATGCATTTATTATGTTTGACCTTTAGTTAAGTTAGGAAGAATTCTTCTAGCTATCATACACGTAGTAAATTAATTTCTAATATAAAAATACTTTTCCTTGTGTTTTATTTTATACTAACATCGAAAAGTTGTTTAAAAGAATTTTCAAAATATATTCAATTTTTGTATATCAGTAAATGACAGATTTTGAGGAAGATAATTCTTTGCTAAAGAGAGTTATTTAGTACAATATAGATAAACAATAACAAAATAATATTTTTATTACATGAGATCAAATAATAATGATAAATTATTCCTATTTATTATACATGATTATTATAGACATGTCTAAATAAATAATAAAGTTAATAGAATGTATGAAAAACAAATAAATAAAGCAGATGCCATATTAACATAACAATAAATATATTTCTATATTTAATTTTTAAATGTTTATTTTATTTTTTTTGTAAAACAAAACAAGTAATACTTTTTCTATGCTATGCAATTAAATATTATGATTAACTTTAGTTTAAAAAAATCTTTTTATAATTATTTATTTAGACTGAAGTTGATCAACATAATTAACTAAAAGATGAAATACCAAATTAAGGCCTATTTTAAAAAATAAACAAAATCATTTTGGTTAGATGAATTGATTTCAATATATATATTTTTTAAATAAGGTATTATTCTATTGATGTATACAAATAATAAAGTGTAGGATCATAATTTTTTATTCTAATACTAGGAATACTAAAATTTTATCTATGAAAGTAATTCTTTATCTCATAGATGAACTTCTTAAGAGAGATTTATTGTAAGTTAATTTTTTATTACAATAAACAGAATTAAAAAAATATATTTCTGAAAATTCAGAATAAATATTAACCAATTTGAAGGTGTACCAATTAATATAAATAAGAACCCCATAAATTGAGAAATAAACTTACAGTAGAATCAGCTTTTCACTTGTTATGGGAATTAAAAGCGATATATAAGTTAAGAAGACACTGTGACACTAACTCCATTGAACTATGATCAGGTATGGTAAAATAATCAATAAGAAATATTTTCAGTTCTCAGCCTTAAATACCATTACATATTTATTGTTTGGATAAGGTCAGTTTACAAATATCTGCCTTATCAGCACTAAATTCCAATTATACACCTTTTACAATCATAATTTGAAGAAGAAAACTAAAATTCCATATTATAACGTTTAATTTTGTCCCATAAAATAACACTAACCTGACGATTGGGCAGCTAAGTTTTGTGAAAAGTGGTAATTCTTTTTCTGCTCTCCTATGACCCTGAGCTGTTCTGGCCTGTGTGGTTTTATTTCATCAGTGCTATCAATACTATCTATGCTATCTGAAAAGAAATAAAGAAATGATTAATAGATAACAGAAGGCAAAGAATGAAATGAAAACTTGTTGAATGTTTTGCTTCTCACCTGTAGGAGGAGGTGTCCTTGTCAGTCTCCTCTTCCTTGGTGAAGAGCCTTTACTTGAACCTGATGAGTCTTGAGGAGACTGAGACTTCTTCACGGCCAGCTCACTAAGCATGTCCTGTGCTTCCTTCCTAAAATTTATGAATTGTATAAAATAAAATGTACCAATTATAAGAAGAATTCATATCAATATAATTGATAAGTGAGAAGAAAAATATATACTTCATTGCAGCATCAGATGTTCTGATTTGGTTTTACAAACTCCAAACACTTCTGTTTTAACTTATTCAAATCTGTTAACTTATATTTTCACAATCCCATTTCTCTTGTATTATTTTTTGTCTAATCCCTTGCCGGCATAGAAAAACTTGATAGAGTAAGATACTTTTTTTTCTTCTTTACATGGTAACTCCACATGATAACCGTTTATTAGACTTATATTCATGTTTCATGCTTTAAGATGAAAGATTACCAGAGCCTAACTTGTTAACAATATAAGTTCCAACAAAATTTCAAGTTAAAATTTGAAAAAAATAAAGTAATTAAAAAAACGTTAAATAAAATGAATGAAATAAAGACAACCAGAAATTACCTAATATTCAGAAAACAATTTTTGGTTTATCTCATGTAATCTTTTATTTGGAGAAATATAATTTTTCCTGGAATCGAGAACCTAAATGGTATACCTGAGTATGGGCTTGAAGGTACGATGAGAATGCGTTGGTGAGTGAGGCTGAAGAGGAGTCTGTGCGGGATCGCGATACAGCCTCAGCCTCACGAGGGAGCCACACTGCCGCAAATAGGCCACCGCCTCCTCATGGCTCAAGCTTGACATGTCCACATCGTTCACCTGTAAGCAGGTAATTAGATGATAATGAAGTCTTATAACATATTATCATATAAATAATTATAAATTTTTAAAAATGTATTCTAATTTATTTAAAATAAATGCATGAGAAAAACTTGTTTGTATTTATTGTTGTATACACATTAAATATTTTAATTAATGCTTGATTATGTTCCCAACTAATTAATATCCGATTTGTACTAACATGTTTATTTCTAATATTATTGATTTTGTTACCGGCATTCATTTTTGAAAAATAATGATTAACCAGAACTGAATAATTGTTGATAGTTCAAAGAACAATGCGTAATTAATTTTAACAGGTAAGAATTTCTTTGAAAAAATTAAAAACATGATAAATGAAAGATAATGTAAAATAAATAAATAATTTTAGTTTTACGATACAAAATCATTATGAAATTCACTTTCATTATTTGGATTTTCATCCCAAACTTATATCATAAAATACTAAATATAAAGAAACATTACTTTTTAATCTCTGTATACCAATTCGTCCTTATTTTATTCATTATATCTTAAATAAATATAGTAGGGGTTATGAAACAAGTGCTAAATAGTTTGTTGGGGATTTTTTTACTGATGTAAACATCAAAAAAGTTAAAACTTGCATGAGTTCATATTTTACAATCTTCTTAAAGTCATGAAAGTAGGAAGTGAAACATGATAGCTGAAATATATTAATAAAGTAATTACTTCGATGAAATGGTCTACAGTTACTTTTTTAGAAAATATGATAGTAAAGGCAAATGCGAGGCTATGGTCGAGGAGTGTGTTACAGTGTTGCTCAATTTATAATTCTCAAGTCTAGCAATGCCAGATTAAATATTAAATATGGGCTGGGCGAGTTGAATTTTATTTTGTGGTAGAACCATGGAATGAACTCAATCTTCTCACAATTGTTAGAATAAGCTTTAGTTACACCTCAGTAACAACTATGTATAAGCCAGTAATGGCCAGGTAGAGAGTAAAAAAAAACAAGATGCAAATATACACCTTACACGTTAGTCCCACAACAGAGATCTGGACTAATACCTACTATCATATTTTGCAGGTATAATGATGGACTAGTAATTAAATTGTCTAAGAGAAATATAAATTACAAAGTATTTTGAAGAACAGCTTCTGAATGTTCCAATTAATATAAAATTAAAAAAAAAGAGAAAACAGACCTGGTGTTGGGTAAAGAGAAAGATACAACTTAATCAAGAAGTTTGGAGCCGATTTCTAAACAACTCATTATACTTCACCTTTAAGAGACTCTCGTGGCTGATTTACAAGTTTTTATATTGCTCTATAAATCAGAAGCAGTTCAGGTTTTGAATTTAAATAGAAAATTATGCTCTTACTCATTATTACCAAACAAACAAGTTAAGTGAAGAATAAAATATAATTAATCATATAATTATATTAAATATTTAATTTTCTTTTTGTTTATTTAACCATAGTTATTAATGGTTATTTAATCACTTACAGCTACTATTTTATCTCCTGGACGTATTCGAGGGTCAGAGAGAGCTGGTTCTCTCACCAGTGCCCGAACGTAGTGACCTAGTACACTCTGGTCCTCCTTTCTCAAGGTGAAACCAAGAGAGCCGTTCATTTTTTCCATTACAATCTCGAACTCCTGCAATTAATCATTTTCATTATAGTATAGCAGAACTAACATAGCTTCACATTTGGTTAAAAAATTAATTTTCAATGTTAAGTATAAAAAAAAAGCCAAGTTTAGCAGGATACCAATTTTCTCTATTCAATTGAATAAATTTGCAGTTAAGTGAATTATTTATCATCAAGACCCAGACTTGCATCAATATGCATATTTGTTTTGCATCATTTTCTCCAAATTATGAATTGATATCTATATAAAATAAGTCATTGTAAATTTTTTACCAAACTTTTATGTAGGATATTTAGGCTCAAAATAAATATATTATCGATATATCTAATTAACTGAATTTATTTTATGAATAAGAGCTCGTTTAATTAATAAAATTATAATGATGTAGAGATGGTTGACCGTTGATATAATATAAGAAGGAGTTAATTGAGAGGTGCGGTCAAATAAATACTAAATTAAAATATAGTAATTATTTAATTTTTGCCAATGTTTCGACCCACTTTGCAGGTTGTCTTCAGGGCGTAGAATGTAGCAGTGCGGGAGGCAGTTGAAACACTGGCAGTGTCAAAAAATAAATATATATATATATATATATATATATATATATATATATATATATATATTTTTTTTTTTTTTTTTTTTTGCTGACACTGCCTGTATTTCAACTGCCTCCCGCAGTGCTACATCCTACGCCCTGAAGACAACCTGCAAAGTGGGTCAAAACATCGGCACAAATTAAATAATTACTATATTTTAATTTAGTATTAATTTGACTGCACCCCTCAATTAACTCCTTCTAATAATAAAATTATTTATTTATTATTATATAAATTAATATTTGATAAGATTTAATTACATTTATAGTGTTGACCAACTGTACATGAAATGTAAAAATCATGTCAAAGCACTGAAAAACATTTTATTTTGGATAGAAACTTATATAAAGAAATGTGGAAGTACTTATTGGAAAAAAACTAAGAGTGGAGAGCACAACTAAAAACATTTTCTACAATTTGCTTCATTTACAAAAAAATTAAATGTCAAATTATGATTTATAAAACAAAAAATTAAACTAGAAGTTAAAATAATACAAAAATCATAAATATGAAAAATGTTAATCGTGAAATCATTCATTTATTGTGAAATATTTTATTTTTATGTGTTTATGGTTTAATATTTCATCTTTATTACCTTCCTTCAAACTCGGTCATACTTTTGATGGCATATTATCATACTTTTTGAGGCATATTATATATGACATATTTCAATTGTTTTTTTTGCATAAAAATCTGGGCATTATTTATAATATTCGCTAAAAAATAAATTATAACGAACCCCATACTGCGTGACAGGAGGGAGCGGAGGCTGGTCCCTCGGAGGTGGTGGTGGAGGGTGGCTCTCAACAGGAGGCAGCACGGTCTCAGGCGGCCTGCACACTGTCAGTTTGACCTCAGCTGGTGCTGACCGCAGTACCTCCAGTGCTTCCTATATAAACAGAAATCAGTTCATATTTTCAATTTTGAAACAATATTAAAAAATCGTAAATCAATAGTACATTAACATAAAAAGAAAAAAAAAATACATGCTTCCTCAAATACATATGTTAACTCTATTTAATTAAAAAAATTCAACTCCTTTGATTTTTAATGGAAAATAAGGAAAAGTTGGAAACAAAAAGATATTCAAGAATAAATACTTCATCCTTCAAACAAATCCTATGGTAAACAAAAGTTGTGAAATAAAATATTACAACTTATAGTTACAATTATTCTTCATTGATTATTTTATCTCACTAGTTGTCCTTTGGACTAACAAATACTGAGGCAAATTATATACTGAAGAGAGGGACAGAGTATTCCTGAAATGTACAAATAAATAAAACACTATAAATTAAGACTGTTTATTTTGTTAGACCTATTTTGGGTAATAACTGAGAAAAAAAAAATATATCAGTAAAAATGTAATATAATAAGACATTTCATTTCTTCAGTAAAATTACAAAAAATAATGGACTTTTTTTTGTAGAACATATTTATTATTTGCATTTTTTTTTTAGATTTTCTTAAGCTTCTAATATAGTCTCACCATTATTTAGCGAAAAATGTATGGGCTTTCACAAGAGTGTTTCTGAACAAAAAATAGAAAAAAGGAAAATGCATAATTTATTTTACACATTGATAAATTTCTTGAGGAAGCCTATAAATCAGTGAAATTTTAAAATAAACTAATAAAAGAACACATTAAATATTTTTAATGATTAACTTTTAAATCTTACAAAAATAAAAAAAAAAGTAATCATGCAGTAAACTAATGAATGGTAATTTAATACACTACAAAACAATACACTGCCTCGAAACTCCTAAGAACCTAATAAAGGCAAAAATTACCACTGTTCAAGATAACTGGCTTTTTAAAGTGGTGGGGACAAGAGAGTTAGAATTTTTATAAAGATTTTTAAAATTCCAAGTGTTAAAAGAATATAATTGGGTGTATAAAAAAAAAAAAAAATGACCATCTTATCAACTTCAAGATTTCAAAGGAATGTAAATATTTTAATCCTGTTTAATATTTAATAATCTCTTTAAAGAATTCTCTAACCTTGTTTAATCCCATTCGACTTCTTCAAAAAAAGCCTCAGTTTGGTTATTTGTTTCAAAGGAGAGACACGACAGTGACCTATGAAATTCTTGTAATTTTAAGGCATTGCTGGAAAAAAAATTTTACAGTCCCTGAACCAACTTGTGAAATTATTAAATATAATGGGGAAGGTGTCCTTGAGTAGCGCACTTCGCAGCGTTGGTTTGAAATACTTAGCAGTGGAGATATGAGGTTGGAAAGGAAGAAAGCTCCGGGAGACTATTAATGGATATTGATGAGGTTCTGCAGGAAGCTGTTGAGTCAAATCCATCCATAAGTATCCGTTAACTTGCCAGAGAGTGGGGTGTATGAAAACATACTGTTAGTCGCCATCTACTCTCCATGAGGAAGGTGAAAAAGAGCAGTAAACAGGCCACTTACGAACTTACACCTTAGCAATCAGCTAAGTGGTTAGAAATTTGTGAAAATTTATTGAAAAACCCTTGTGATATGAGATTTTACCAGAAGATTGTCACCTGTGATGAAAAGTGGGTTTACTGGCAAAATTCGTGAGAAATGGCTAGATTGTTGCAAGGGGACAATTTGAAAAAAACCATGCTTTGCGTTTTTTGGAATTTGCAAGGTGTTAATTATCACAAATTTGTATCTGATGTATGCTCTATGAATTCTGAACTCCCCTGCGAATAACTAGAAAGATTGTACACGAAGTTGTCAGAGCGTTATACTTTAAGCGTGCTGCTTTAATCAACTGAAAAGGAATTTTATTCCAACAGGATAGTGCTTGTCCTCACCCTTCCCGTCGAACCAAAGAGAAGTTTAATGAACTTCATTGGTTCGAACTCCTGCCTCATCCACCATATAGTCCAGACCTCGCACCATCAGATTACTACTTATTCAGATCCATGGCCCATTGCTGTCCGTCAAGAGTTCTTTGACAGCCATCCCAAAGTATCAGTGTGGGATCAAGCAATTGACTAGCAGATGGCTAATGATGGTAGATAGCAATGGACTATACTTCAAGTATTAATTGTAATTTATATCAAAGAAATAATAATACAAATATTTGGTTGACAAATGGTCATTCTTTTTTATACACCCTATTATTACAATTGGAATAATTAGCAATGATACTAAATATCACTAAATGACACTCACATAGTTGGTGAGGCCGAGGAGAGGTACCCCACTAGCAGCCAGGAGGATATCCCCGGCATTGAGGAGGCCACAGTGGGAGGCCGGCTGGTGAGGGAACAGTCGCTTGATCCGGATCAGGCCGGGCCAAGGCTCTCCCCCGCAGACAGATAGTCCTAGTCCTCCGCTACCTTTCTTCACTGTCACCCAGAATACTGAATCTACACAAAGGAATAAATCAATGTTATATGTATATCTATATATATATATTGGCAAATACTTCCAACACTTCTATTCATATTATAATAGAAATAATTTAAGTATTATCAAATCCCACTTTGTCTCCATATTCAAGACCAAGACATTATTTAATTGATTAGTTGGAAGAATCACTTCATCCGGAGAATATAGAATAAATAAATCCATTATGAATTTGAGACATATAATTTGTAAAAATTAAAACTCTGAATGTAACTGGAAAAGGTCATTCGTGGTCATATATCATTTTTTAGAGATACTATTTTTAGAATCCTTGATAATTTCCCTTTTTGAATGCGAAAATGTTACATACACATTATTCATATAAAGGTTTTAGAGTGATCCAGGATTTTCTTTCTTGTTTTTGTGTTTTTTTTAGAAGACAAATTTTGGCAAATTGTGTACTCAAACCAGGATGATTCTCAGTATATTGCATTGCCCTCTTCCTTCCTTCCAAAGTAAGACCGATCAGATGTTTTATATGTACATATTTCAACAATTTATAAAGATTAAGGTAAAATATAATGTGTTTTGCAGTAATTACATCGAGGCTTAAAAGCAAAAAAATAAAAATCCAAATATTTTATTTTTATGAATATTATAAACAATATTTTAATTTAATAGTGGGAAAACTTATCAACTTACTAAGTGATTTAATTTTCTGAAATGCTACTTCATGACTTTTTGCAATAAACTGATGCAATGTATACTAACATATGATGAAGTTAAATTTATTAGACCAATTCAATATAATTTTTAGTTTTAAATAACAAGGGGGATACCTCCTATCCGCCTAATGGCAGACCAATTCTCATTTTACAAATTATACAACCGTTCATTTAATTGTACTACTCTTTGCTCAAATTGTATAACTTTAATTTACATGTACTCTGTAATTCAGAATGTATTTTTTTTTCAATTATAGTTTTCTTTCAGAGCTAGAAATTTTCAAGTTGAAAAATATTGCAGTCACAAAGAATGTGATAAAATGTAATTTCTGAAAATTTCTCAAATAGAGCTTTTTTAAATTTAAGATATATGTAACATTATGTATAATTATATCTTCATGGTTTAATATCTGAAACAGAATTGTTTAAAGGATGTTTTTTGTATTAGTGTAAGTATGACCTATAATCATGTTACTTGCTGGTTTTCTTTCTGTTAAATGTCGGCCATATATGTTACATATGAGTTCACATAAATATGCATATGTAATTATTTTACAATTCCCAAACCATGATTGATTTATAGAGCGCTGCCTTCACCCCTTCGGACGATCGTCGTTACATTTCTAAAGTATTTTATTTTCGAGACAAATGCGTCAATAATTAATTAAAACTTGATTGATTATACTAGATTGTGTTAGATATGTATGATCCCGTAGAGCATTTGCAAGCCTGTCACAAGGCATATCTCTCAGCGGGTATTATAATATTCAGCAGGTGCAATGAATAATTAATGCCAGGCTATTGATGGATGCGGTCCTTATGCCAGCCTGTCCATTCTGTTCACGTGTGGCGCGTCAGCAATCCCTCTTGTTAACAGCCAATCGTGGAGAACTGTAATCATCTCGGCCTATATTTTTGAAAGGATCCGCGGAATAATTACAAGACCAGTTTCGTGAATCAGCGGGTAGTAATGGATCACGGAACACTGGCCACTCGGTCGTTACAATGCGGATTTCTCCAAACAAGCTCTAACTGGTGTTCTTATCTCTTGGAAGGAGTCACGGAATAAAAGAATGATCAGCTTAGTTAAAAATTGCTGGCCTGAGTTTATAGGCCAGTTCCTGTTTAAGCATTATGCCTCCTGTAACCAGTACTTATTTTTTCATGTATAAATGAAACTAGTTTATCTATACAAGGAATTATTGAAAAGCCAAGTTGCTAAACTCAGATGCAGGGCTCATCATAAGTATCGAAAATCCTTTGGACCGTTCCAAAATTCACCAGTGACTAAACGGTTCCATCGTCTTTTGGGGTCACTAAATAGGCTAAAAGAGGTGTAATTCACATCTCACTGAATACGCTGAATGTAAGCTCATTATAAACTAGGCGTTTTTATTTCTCAATTTATTTTCAATCTATATTAATTTGTTTTTAAATTCAACAATTTAGTAAGAAGATTTTAACTTATCTTTTTTTTTTTTTTTTTTTTTTTTGTCATACGTTTTATAACCTTCTAGGAGTGTTAATCTTTCGTTAGAATCCAGGAAGTCGTATCTAAGCTCAGCGTACATCGCTGTTCATCGGTAATGGAATCAATCATTCAATAAATTCCATCGATGGAGTTATTGCTGGGATTAGGAACTTGCCCATACATAAAGAAATGTTATTATAAAATAATATTATAAAATAATATTATAAAATAGGTATGATAGCTGGTACTATCGGTAGTGTCGAAACTATAGTTTTTTTTTTTATCTGTACCCCTAAGGAAAAAAAGTTATGAAAGGAAGAAAACATTTTTTAATGATTATACCCACAGTAATTCGATAGGTTTTTAAATGTCCTTCAAACCGAAAAAAAATATCTGAATCAGACCATGATTAACGAACATATCTTAGTGAAATTTGTACACGTTTTGGTTTATTATTTTCAATAATGAACCACCTTAATCCACCGAGAAAAAAAATCCCCTCTTTTATTATATATTGCATTTACTTACTTCCATATTATAATATTATTTGTTCACTGGCCAATATGCTGAGGAAATTATTTAAGGCAAAACAGCTTTTATTTAATTTTCGCTTCGTCTTATACTAAAAAAAAAAAAATTATTTTAAGAAAAAAGTTTGATATTAAACTATGTCAACGATAGCCTAACGGCTTTCCGATAGTGGACTATGGTCTTAGTGGTCAGCTGTTGGCCAGACTAAGGCTTCATGTAACAGTGTGTCTAGAAGGGAGATAGTGTAAACTTCAAATGGCAACTACCCGGAAAAATGAGAGGGCCCGAATCAAGACCTGACCGTTTAAGAAAAACGTTCTCAGCTCTCGAAAGTTTAAACCAATGTATCATCGTTCATAATAAAATGCAACAATGTAACGGGATAGCAAAAATTGAAAAAGTAGAGATTAAAATATATATATATATATATATATATATATATATATATATATATATGAAGTTTATAATCTTGTAAAGTAATGGAGTAACGAAAAATTAATGGCTAATAATTGCCGTAGTTAATAATGTCTACGTTTAAATTATTTAATAGAAAACAAATGTTTTGTTTGAAACTAAATAGAATATCTATGGAAACTAAAATTTATTTTCAGTTCAAAAACTAAACTCTGTAAATTATAACATAATGGTTTATTATTTCCCGATGGTTATATATCAAATGTAAAATTACTTTAGCAATTGCAATATTACATTTTCGCACTTGTAAATGTTTATATATATAATTCATTAAGTTACCATCGTACTAAGTTACTTTGTTTTTTATTGCTCAAATGACGGCAAGTGTTTCATGATACTATATGTGGTATGCTAAGGTGTGAAAGAGCAACGTGACATGGCAACTATTTCTCCAGACCATGGTTACCGTTATTTATTAAACAGATGATTTTCACAAGGCACTTGTTTTTCGTTTTCGCATTGCACATTTTATAGAAGCCGTTTCGAGAACAATTAATTATTTATATGAATCTTCAAAGCTAGACAAAAAAAATAATTACATTGCCTCAACCACAGCCCACTGAACAGCAATCAACCTGATTTCAATTAAATACTGAGAACGGGAGAAATAGCCGTTAAATACTAGGTGGTATTTAATTGGTGGAACTGACTTTTCACAGCCCAATGAACCTTTTGAAGTTGATTGATACAAAAGTGAAGCGCTGTGCGCTGTGAGCTAAACGCTGACCCGACCATATCTCAATACAATTAGAAGCCGCTTTGATTGTAAGCTCCCGATAAGTGGCGCTCATTGTCTTCCACGACCGACCAAACAATGGGGCCAGGATTGAATAGTCATCCAATGTTGGAATGAAGTAAGGAAGGCTCCATTGTCAGTCAATGGACAATCAGCGGTCAGTTGGTCGAGTAATTCGGGCATCAATGTTTCCCCTCCCCTTTCCCACTCCACACAACTGTCGCTTTTTATCCACGTCCTTCCTGCGGCTCCCTTTGATCCCCGACAGCAGCAACACAACACAATCTACCACTTAATTTGCCCACTAATTTGTGCCCAGGTTTGTCCTGATAGAGTCAAAGTAAATCCTCTTGCGAAACTGATAAAATGGTCGCCTCATGTTTTAATATATAAACATAACCTTCACAACTCTGAAATTGTAAATTACTTGGCAAATGTACCAATAATTTTTTCTTATTAACTCGGAACACTGTGGATGCGTATTACATATCATGGGTAATATACATAATAAATTTAAAGAAACTCAATATTTAATATTGCTAACCACCTGCACTAAAGGTAGGCGTTCAAGTACTAGAACCTAGGTAAGCAAGTGTCAAGTACTTGAACACCTCCAGCCCTGCTAACATGGTTAGTAATATTAAATATTGTTTGCATAGCTTGTCATTTATTACATTTGTCTATCTCATCATGTACTCCAATCATTTTACATTAGTTATTTCATTTTACAGTGGTTCATGCAATGCCATAGTTTAGGTAGTATTTAATCCGGGCGCCTTCATCAGTCCCGCACTACACAGCTATTCTGATGGTTTAGTATTTTGAGGCGTTGGCTCTGAATGTCATAATTCTGGTCAAATATATAATGCTGAGTTGGGAAGGAGCGGAGAGGAGACGGGAAAAATAAATAAATATTCTAATACATACATATATATATATATATATATATATATATATATATATATATATATATATATATATATATATACGTGAAGATTAGTATTACTACTTTATATATACCTAAAATTGAAGAAAATGTTACAAATAAATAACCTATTATTGTTCAACTAAAGCACATTTAAC